GGTGGATTGTGAGTTGACAATGTCCTTACAGATTGGCAATCTCGTGGGGCGGTGAGTGAGGTGCTGGGTGGAGGTGGGGGGGGGAGAGAGCAGGGATTTGAAGGAGGAGAAGAGCCGGCGAGGACAGGTGGAGAGGGTGTTGATAAGGGTTATGGAATAGGCTTGCTTGGCGGCGTGGAGGGAGGTGGTGTAGGCGAGGTAGGCAGCTTTATAGAGGGAGAACGCGCGAGGGAATCTGGTTTTGCGCCATAAGCGCTCCAGCGCGCGCGCGACTGCGTTGTTTGAGGCATTTCGTGTGGTCGTTTTGCCAGGGTTGAAGCGGTTGGGGTCTAATGCTACATGTGGTTAGGGGTACCAGGGAGTCAAGAGCAGCTGACAGTGAGTTGTTGTATGCAGTAGTGGCCAGGTCAGGGCATGACAGAGGGAGGATACTGTCATACAGACGGTCAGCTGCCGGGTGGAGATGGGTCAGGTTCAGATTGCGGAGGTTGCGGGAGATGGTTAGACGCTTCGGGGGGGGGGGGGGGGGGAGATGGAGAATGTGAGGAGGTGGTGGTCAGAGAGGGGGAAGGGGGTGTTAGTGAAGTGGTGGGAGGCGCAGAGGTGGGAGAAAACGAGGTCCAGGGTTTTTCCATTGGAGTGGGTGGAGGACTGAGTGTAGTGTGTGAGCGCGAAGGAGGAGTTGGGAAGTAGCCGGGCTGTTGGTGTTGATCGGGATATTGAAGTCGCCTAGGATGATGGTCGGTAGCTCGGAGGAGAGGAAGAAGGGAAGCCAGGGCGGCGAAGTCGTCTAGGAAGGGGGATGCGGAACCAGGAGGCCGATAGATTACCGCAATCCTTAGGGGGGTGGGAGAGAAGAGCCGGATGCAGTGGGCCTCGAAGGAGGAGAAGGATAGGGAGGGGGGTTAGGGAGGACCTGGAAGGTGTTCAGCAGTGGTAGGAGCATACCGACCCCTCTGCGCCCGCTCGGTCTGGGTGAATGGGTCCAGACGAGGCCTCCATAGGAGAGGGCAGCAGGGGAGGTGGAGTCAGTGGCTTGGATCCAGGTTTCGGTGACCACTAGGAGGTTGAGGGAGTGGGAGACAAAGAGGTCGTGGATGGCGATGAGCTTGTTGCAAACCGAACGGGCATTCAGGAGTGCAACCGAGAGGGGAGGGGAGGGGTGGATGTGGGGAGGAGGGGGACAGATATGAGATTGAGGGGGTTGCGGTGCTTGGTGTGAGTAGGGGGGTGCTGGGAGGGGTAGTGGGGAGATGGGGGGCCAGGGTTTGGGGAGATGTCACCGGCGGTTAGGAGAAGGAGGAGGTGAGGAAGGTGGCATGGGAACGGGAGGTGCAGGAGCACGTGGGTCTGTTGGTGGTGGCATGTGGGTCGGCGGGGGAGTGGAGTATCGGAGGAGGTGGTGAGAGCTGAAGGGGGGGGGGGAGGAAGAAGTGAGGGTGCAATGTAGAGCTGTTTTGGGGGAGTAGGGGGGTAGAGGGAGGCAAGTTTGAGGATGGAGGAGAACGAGGAGGAGGAGTGCAGGTGGCATGCTAGGGTGGGCAGAATGCTGATCGGGTCGGAGAGGAGGGAGGTTTGAAAGGAATTAAAATCATTGTTCACAGTCATATGTCCAATGTAAACGAAGGAACAAGTGGGTGGCATAGCCCCAAATGTGTGAATGTGGTCACTTTTGCTAAAGCATGTATCTGTGCAAAACGCATAGTCACAGCAAACAGGTCTTGTGGTCTGCCCTCTGGCTTCTCTGTCCATCCATCAAGGGTGTCTTGAGTAGCAGGAACAGAAGTCTCAGGCACAAGGTCAGGTAAAAAGGTAGGGTGAAACCCATAGTTAGCAAAGAACAGGGACTGCTTGGTGGCTGAATGGCTGGAGTTATTGTATGCGAACTCCGCCAGTGGCAGGAGCGATACCCAATCATCTTGGACAAATGATGTGCAACACCGGATGTACTGCTCCAGGGTCTGATTAATTCGTTCTTTCCGTTGGTTTGTGGGTGATATGCCAAAGAAAAAGATTTTCAGGGTTTCACATAGTGCCCTCCAGAATCTTGATGTAAACTGCACCCTTCGGTCTGAAACAATGTTTGCAGGAATTTCATGGAGCCTGACAATTTCTTTAATAAAGACCCGAGCAGTTTCAAAAGCAGAGGGTGTATTTCTCAGGGGCAAAAAAGTGGGCCATCATTGATAACCGGTCTACTACCACAAAGATGGCGGTGCAACCTTCTGAAGGTTGAAGTTCCACTACAAAAGCCCTAGAGATCATCTTCCATGGTCTGTCAGGTACAGGCAGAGGTCTGAGCAATCCCCAGGCTTTATTTTGGGTACTCTTATTTCGGGTACAGATGGGGCATGCATTACAGTCTTTTCCCATATCTGACCACCAGAATGTGCGTTGTGCTAATTTTGCCGTCTTGGAGACCCCGAAGTGGCCCACCAAAGGGTGGTCATGACATTATCCAAGGACAAGGGTCCGCATCAGAAAGTTCCCTGCTGGCAAAATGGTGTCTGATATTGGGGTGTCTTTTGGATCCTTGAACATGCGTGATAGTGCATCGGGTTTGGTGTTCCTGGACCTGGGCCCTATAGGTTATGTGAAAGGTGTATCTTGAAGAAAAAAAAACAATGGCCATCGGGCCTGACGTGGCTTGAGGCATCTAGCAGTCCTTAAATATTCATGGTTCTTGTGATCCGTATATATTAAAATCGTATGTGTGGCTCCTTCTAGCAGGTATCTCCATTCCTCCAGGGCTATTTTAATTGCCAGAAGCTCCCAGTCCCCTACGTCATAATTCTTTTCAGCCGAAGAGAGTTTCCATGAAAAGAACGCCACTGGATACATCAATTCCTTGAGTACTTGTCGTTGGGAAAGAACTGCCCTAACTTAATTTTCTGATGCATCTACCTCTAGGATATAAGGTAGAGTAGAGTCCGGGTAGCTCAGAATAGGAGCAGCTGTGAATAGCTCCTTCAGGGTTTTTAAGGCAGACTGTGCTTCAGAAGTTCAGTGGAAACGGACCCCTTGTTTGGTGAGTGATTGGGGAGATGAGGGCCGAGAAGTTCTTAATGAATTTACGGTAGAAGTTGGCGAAGCAAACCACTGGACACCCTTTTTATCTGAGGGCACTGGCAAGTCCAGGATTGCTGAGACTTTCTGCGGTTCCATCTTAATTCCAGCTGTGGAAATGATTAGCCCAAGCGAGAAATGGAATGCTTTGATACTCGAAATTGCATTTTTCGGCCATGGCGTACAGTCCGTGCTGACGAAGTCGTCCTAAGACATTTTTAACATGTCCTTGATGAATTTCCAAGGATGTGGAAAATATCAAGATGTCATCTAGATAAACTATGACAAAGATGTCAAGGTAGTCTCTGAAAATATCATTGATGAAGTGTTGGAAGGTAGCTGGTGCGTTGCACAATCCGAAAGGCATGACCAAATACTCAAAGTGGCCAAATCAGGAACGAAAAGCAGTCTTGCATTTGTCCCCCTCCCGATATGGACCAAGTTATAGGCTCCCCTTAAGTCTAGTTTTGTAAAGATGACTGTAGATTTAAGTCTCTGAAAAAGTTCAGGAACCAAGAGAAGTGGGTAACGATTCTTTACTGTAATCTTATTTAGTTCACGATAACCCACACAAGGCCGCAGGGATTGATCCTCCTTTTCTGCAAAGAATATTCCCGCCCCTGCAGGGGATGTAGAGGGGCGAATGAATCCTTTTTGAAGTCTCTCCTCATATTCCTTTAATACCCCTAATTCTCGTTCAGATAGGGGAAAGACAGGGAATTTCGGATCCTGGAAGTAGGTCGATAGGGCACCCAGGTATCTTTTAAAATCTCGGTCAAAGCTAGGGAAAATGAGATGTTGACATTCTGGCCTCCAGGTTCCGTAACAAGCTGAAAAAAAAAATTGTACCCAAGATCAGGGATCCTCTAGCCTTTGCAGTGAGTAGTCTGCTGATTCCTTGTGCTCATGAGTTCCCTTCAATGAAGATCCTTCCTTGACTGCTCTACAAGATAGAGGAGGAGAACATTCCAGTGATTTTCATTGCATCAAGGTGGCCTGGAAGAACAGAATTCTGGTAGGGACCGCTGTGGCACTGGACACTCTCCCAGTTTCCATGAATGAGGTGATCATCGTAGTTCTATTAAAGCCGGGGAAGGATCCTACTCAGGCCGAATCATACCACCCTATTTCCCTGTTGCCTACTGACTTGAAGATTATTACAAAAGGTACTCGCAACACGGCTTTCTAAAGTAATTGCTAAACTCATACACCCGGATCAGTCAGGATTTATCCCCAATAGATCGACGTCCATTAATCTCCGCAGGTTGTACCTTAATTTGCAACTACCGACGGACAATATTGGTAATAGAGCCATTCTCTCACTTGATGCCGCAAAAGCTTTTGATAGTGTGGAATGGCATTATTTATGGCAGGTTCTTGTTAAATTAATCTGGGGAATTAGTTTATCTCTTGGCTTCAACTGCTTTATAGTGCTCCCACTGCTAGAAATACGAGTAAATAATGCTTTATCCTCCTCATTTACACTACACAGAGATACGAGACAGGGATGCCAATTATCACCCTTGCTCTTTGCATTGGCAATAGCCATTGGCAGCGGCTATTAGGGAGGACCAAACTATAGAGGGGTTTAACTGCCTCCTGCCTGTCATATAAGGAAATGACGGGCGCAAGGTGGTTCTCTCGTTCTGGGAGGACGTCATATGACGTCGTCCCATTCTAACCGCGCATGCACGGCTCCGGGAACGCACAGTGTGGTGATCGGTGGTGCGCTGTGTCCCTCGGACACAGTGGATCACCGATCAATGGAAAGAGCCGAAGATGTCGGCTCGGTCATTTGATCAGCTGTGTCCAATAACAGCTGATCACATGTAAATAGGGAAATGCCGGTTATCGGCATTTCTCTCCTCACGAGCTGTCACGCTGACAGCTCGTGAGGAGGGGAGAGCCGGTAATCAGCATCCCTCAGAGAGGACATGTGCACTGATCATCAGGGCACTGATGATCAGTGTGCCCTAATGATCTGTGTAGCCCAAGAAGTGCCACCTGTCAGTGTCCATCAGTGCCAGCGGTCATTGCCCATCAGTGCCACATTAATGCCACATATCAATGCCCATCTGAGATGCCTTTCAGTGTCACCTATCAGTGCCAGTTAGTGCCACCTATCAGTGCCGCCTATCAGTGCCCGTCAGTGCCGCCTATCAGAGCAGTCAGTGCCACCTATCAGTGCCATATATGAGTGCTGCCTTTCAGTGCCCATCAGTGATGTCTGTCATTGCCCATCAGTGCCACCTACCAGTGCCTCCTCATCAGTGCCCATCAGTGCCACCTATCAGTGCCCATCACTGCAGCCTCATTAGCGCACACCAGTGAAGGAAAAAAAAATCACTTATTTACAAAATTTTATAGCAAAAACTAAGTAAAAATTTTCAGTGGCATATGGTTTGTTTAGCAAAAAAAAAAAACCCAGAGGTACCACCAAAAGAAAGCTCTGTCTCAAAAAATGATAAAAATTTCATATGAGTATAGTGTTGCATGACCACGCAATTTTCATTCAAAGTGTGATAGCGCTGAAAGCTGAAAATTGGCCTGGGCAGGAAGGGGGGTATAAGTGCCCTGTAGGCAAGTGGTTAAACGAGGCGAGGTCAAAGAAGAAAAAGCTTTATACACTTTAAGATGCTCTACTATTCTTGGGCAATATGTCACACTCCCTTACGAGATTGATGTCCCTTATTGATACCTTTGGATCCTTTTCTAGTTTCAAGATTAATTGGGATAAATCTACCCTGTTACCCTTAGACCCGATTCCTGCCCTTATACCACAGGTTGCGTCCCAAATCCAGGTGACAGACTCCTTCCGTTATTTGGGAATTCATATCCATCCTACCCTGTCTAAATATGTCCAGCTTAATCTCTGCCCTCTCCTTAAGTTCAGACAGAAAATGGTTAGTTTGAACAAACTGCCGCTTTCGGTGGTTGGTAGGTGTAACCTCATAAAAATGATGTGGGCCTCTCAGTTATCATACGTTTTGCATAATGCACCAAACTGGATCCCTATGTATGTTTTCAAACAGTTTGATACCATGTTCCAATCTTTGATTTGGAAAAAACACTCTCCTCGTATAAAACTGGAAACATTACAGGAATCTAAAGAGGCTGGGGGATTGGCGGTACCTAATCCATTTTACTATTATATAGCTGCACAACTTCAACATCTTACTGCTTGGCAGGGCGGTAACCATGCAGACACTGTTAAGCCGCTCTTAATGGGTGTTTTGTCCAATGATAATCTGGTGGAATGTTTGAAGGCGGGTGAGTTTAGAAATATGTCACAGTATCCCACCTTGGTGTTGATTGATAGGGTATGGTCCAAAGCGAAATGTCTCTTCCATTATTTGGGTTATACTTCATTCACTCGTATTTTTCATAATGTTAATTATTGTGAGTTGCAGAAGCTGCAGGGCTTTGCTGGGTGGATGATGATGGGAGTTAGATATATACCACAATTATATGATGGTCAATTACTGAAAGATTTCCGTACTTTGCAGCTTGAATATGATTTGCCTAAGCAATTCTTTTTCCAGTACCTACAGCTTAGACATGCCATTGCTGCACAATCTAAAGCCTCTCATTTACTGAGCAGGTAAAACTTAAACTATAGCTTCAACCACAAGAAAGGGTCAAATATCTTCGCTTTACCAATCCATTATGCTCAAAGTTTCTAAGTAGTGTAGAACAAAATGGTCAACTGATTTAGATACTATTTCTGACGAGGAGTGGTCCACCATATTAGAAAACGTAATTAAAATCTCCTTGTCCCCAGCTCTTTATTATCCATCGCACTTATCTCACTCCTCAGCGGCTCTACGCTTGGAATAGGAGGGACTCTCCCCTTTGTCCTAGATATGAAATTCATAACGGCACGCTTATCCATATGCTATGGAAATGTCCCAAATTGGTAAGATATTGGTCCCATATTATAACAATGATCAATAAGATCTGGAATCTCAATGTACCATTAGATCCTAAGCTTTGTCTATTGGGAATGTTGGATGAGGAACGGTTTACTCCACATATCTATATAGCTATCCTTAGAGTGCTCAAAAATTGAAGGAAAAGAAACAGGGAAAAGGTTGCAAATGGACTTTAAAGGCACAGAAATTCCAAACACATTAGTAAAATCATTTGTACTTTATTATGACAATAAGTCATGAAAAAACATCTTGCAGTTTAAAAGATCATAGGTACACTATCCCCGCAGAGAATGTCCCACAGCCCACCGTGTACAAAGGAACACATGAATGATTAAGGATGTAAAGACAACCAAATGGATACAATAAGGCAGGGGTTGAGAGACAATAAGTCGCAGGAAAATGGCCCAACTATTGGCAAAAAGCTAGATTAGACTCTAGATTGCACGTGGATGAGCTGAGGAGGTTTGACTCTCGGAGTTCAGATCGAAGAAGGCTGGTTTTTGGTTCTAGTTTTTGTTTAAATTGTCAAATTGTTAAAAACTATTTTGATTTTATAACTCGTTTTATTTAAATTTCCCTCTGTTTTTTTCCCAACCTATTTTGAAATCTTGGGGGTTTCTTATTTCTCTTTTTCAAAAAAAAGGATCTGGAAAATGTTGTGGTCTGGAATCTATGGTTATATCTTTGGTATACATGACTTTGTACCCCTTTTATATTATAACGATGTAACTTGTTGATACAAAGGCTACACTCCGTTGGAGATTGTAGTTATCTGATTATATTTGTACATGGATCCATACTTCAATTAATAAAAAAAGATCTGATTAAAAAAAAAAAAAATGCAATCCTAGTGGCCAATTAGCTGCTGAATTGTTTAAAAAGCAGCGGGAAGGGACATTCCTGCTGCCTTCCACAGCTTTCTTGGGCTCTCTCGTCCCACAGGGGAATCCGAGAACGCAGCCAACAGTTCCGCTGGCTGACTACAGAGCTGGTCAGAGACCACAATGGCTCCAATCATCTCTACAGTCTAAGAAATCAGAAGCTACGAGCAATTCATTACTTCAGTTTTGCAGGATATAAACAGCGACATTTGTAAATTGGGAAAGCATCTGATCACACCGATCTTGGTGAGATAAGATAACATAAGGGCAGAGGAGATATCTAGAGTCTGATAGACCCCAGAATTCTCAAAAAAGAATCTATGACAATGCCCATTGAAATTATAGGGGATATTTTCATTCCATGTAATAGCATTAAAACTGATCCAAAAAAAAAAAAAAAAATGAAAAAGGGACAGTGTAAAAATAAAAATAACGAAAAAAAAAACCCCAAACAAACAAAAAAAAAAACACTCTTACCCCCCTGCGTGCGCAAGCGTTGACCCCGTGCCAGTATGTAAACAGCGGTTGCACCATGCATGTGTGAGGTATCGCTGCAAACATCAGATTGAGGGCAGTAATTCTAGCACTAGACCTCCTGTGTAAATATAAATTGGTGACCTGTAAAGGCTTTTAAAGCATCACCTATCAATAATAAAAATGTATGTACTTTGTTGCCATTGCAGGGGCATGCGCAATTTTAAAGTATGTCAAGTTTGGTATCTATTTACTCAGTGTAACATCTTCTTTTTTGTGTCGATTTTGTTTGTGTCAATCTTGTTTTGGAAGTGGTGTGCAATCTCGTGGGCAGTGAGTGAGGAGCTGGGTGGCAGTGGGGGTGGAGAAAGTAGAGAGTTAAAGGTAGAGAAGAGCCAACGAGGACGCGAAGAGAAGGTATTGATGAGGGTGACAAAGTAAGCTTGTTTGGCAGCGTGAAGGGAGGAAGTGTATGTTAGGAAGGCAGATTTATACCAGGTGAACGTTTGGTGGGATTTGGTTTTACGCCATAATCGTTCCAGCGCACGACTGTGTCATTTGAGATTTTGGGTGCGGTCAGTCTGCCAAGGTTGTGGAGGTCGGGGCCTGATGCTTCGTGTTGTTAGGGGAGCAAGCGAGTATAGAGCGGATGAGAGAGAGAGTTGTTGTAGACAGCAGTGGCCAGGTCAGGGCAGGACAGGGGGTTGATGCTGTCGTACAGCTGGTGAGTGGCGGAGTGGAAGGGAAGCGGGTTTCCGGAGGTTTCTGCTGGTAATTGTCTGCTGTTTAGTGGGGTAGGTGTTAGAGGACGAGGAAACTGTGAAGTTGATGAGATTGTGATCAGAGAGGGGAAACTGGGTGTTTGAGAGGTTATAGGGGGTACAGTGGTGAGAGAAGACAAGGTCTAAGGTATTCCCGTTGGAGTGAGTGGAGGACTGTATACACTGCAGTAGTTCAAAAGAAGAGGTTATGTGGAGGAGTTGGGATGTATCGGGTTAATAGTGAATAAATAGAAGGGAGGGGCAGGTTCCAAGGAAGACGTGCCAGACAGCCATAAATGATAGTCCTGACCCCACTCATAAGGTGAATCACAAATGGACATGCCTTCCAGGCAAGACCAGGGGATGGAGAGTGACATTGCCACGGAAAGTGAAGAACACCAGGGAAGCAAGAGTGGTGATAGCCTTTGGATTAGATCAGACATGGTGACATAGAATTATTTAGTCAGACAGGCTACATATTGTGTGTCTGTGATGGAGAGGTTAGTTTAAGACCTTGTTCATGAACAAGGTAATAGCTATCAACCCAAGATGAACCTGGAGTTCAGCCTGGAGCGGGATTCTCAGTTGTTCCATTTGCTCCCATTCCTATTGGACTAAGGGGGTTCAATGAGTCTAGTATGAAGGAATCCTAATGATCCAGGGGCTAATCAAGTTTCTTTAGCTGTGTCTTCGAGGTATCTCAAGCAACAGGTGTGACAGAAAACTATTGCAAGCCGTAGATGACTTGGTTTTTTTTCTCCTTCACATGTGTGGAAGGGAAAAAAAAAATTGCTAAAATTCCCAATCAACACATCAACACATTCAGTGTTGATGGGACAATGCCTCTTGCAGCACTACTGTATTCGATTGGCGAGTGGGGGCACAGGGAGCTTTATGGGCTAGCAGAAGACAATTATTGCTAGGAGCTATAGCCGCTAGCAGTAATCACATTAAAAAAAAATCCCTACATCTGGCACACCCAAGTCGATCGATGAAACAACTTGGGTACAATCAGCCCACCCATGCGTAGATCATATCTCAGCCTGACGCTGCTGAACTGGCCAAATTTCGATCCATGTATGGCTGGCTTATCAGCCTATGTTTTGGGTGGAAGATGGTGGCCAATATTGCACAGTTACAAACACTATGTCACTAGTCAAAGAGAAACCGGGACTGAGTACTGATGTTAACACCTGGTAGGACAGATTTTATTAGAAAAAAAAAACACCGTCCACAGCATACGCTGCTAATTCTGAAACTTTAAATAATGTCCATCTGCAATGTCCACTGCAATGTCCAGACAGGGATATAATGGTTTACAATACTGCCATTCTAAATGGGGAAATGTTTTACATTTTTTTTATTGCAAGTTTCATCTTAATTTTTAAATATTTTAATGAAAAGAAAATTGGTGCAGGAAAAATCTACAAGACAAAGATTACACAACAGACAAAAAAAACAGTAAAATCAAGGGGTTTTAAAAGTGGGAAAATACTTAAAGTATGTGCTTCAAAAAAATAAAAGAAACATATACTTACCTAGGTGGATGCAGTATTGATCCGATACTGCTTCTGTCTACCTCCTGCTCTGCATTGAGAACTGAGCAATTAAACACCAATCACTTCTTTTCCCCCCTCTTCTGAGCAAAGAGCTGTGCTGTCAGTCACCAGCTCTCTGCTCTGCCCCTCCAGTACTCACTGGAACGCCAGGCTAGGGAGGGGAGGGAGCGGCTCAGCCTCCCAGCAGCGCATCTAAAAGGCTGAGCCAGGTGCTAGTCCAGGCTTCTGAGTGGATCCCGACCATATGGTCTAGATCTTTTCAGAGCCTGGACCGGCTGCGTGACATCAGCTGACAGCGGACTTTGGCCAACTGTTGGCTCAAAACTGGTCACAGGAGTGCATTAGAAACTGTACTCCTGCGCCCTACAGGAGAAGTATATCCAAAATACTTTTGACTATACTTCTCCTTTAAATGAAATCTGCCTAGTCTCTGGTTCATTGCAGAGTTCAGATCATTTGCAGAATGAGCCTACTCTGATATAGCAGAGTCACTAGCATCTTTGAAAAATGACTGGTCTTCCTTGTTACTTTCAATAGTAAATGCTATAGCTTTTTGCTGAACCTGGAGAGGGTGTTGCAGTGTCAATGCCCATCCAATCAAAAGGTCTTAGCGGTGTGTTGTAAGTGTGCTGAAGAGTATTTTTATTATTTTATTATGCTCAGTTGACACACCCTTAAATGCCACTATCCTGGGTAAATCTATATTTCCACATAACAAACTTTAACAAGTTGAAAACCAGCATATTTACCAGAATAAAATTAGGATTTGTTAGAATTCTGAGGTATGTTTCTCCTAGAAGGTCTAATGTGTCTTATTAGCCTTCTGAACCTTGTCATATAGTTTGGCACTTAACTGATCAGTATCTCCATAAACATTAGTGTAACCATACGCAGTTTGGAATATGAATTAAAGCTGGTATGTATGAAAGTTCAGTCTTGGGCTAAGACGACAGACTTGCATACCATTAACAAAAGGGCCTCATAAGGACTTTTTGAAGACCTGGACTAGTGAAGGTTTATGATACTTCTGCATTCCTCCTCATTGTCTGTTGTTCCTCAAATATATCTTAAGTTGGACTGTGACTTTTCAAGTTTATCACCGGTGTCTGTCTTCCATAAACATGAGATTTAAATTTGACAATATCTGCTACGGATTTGCAAATTCTGGGGAACAGGGTGGCATGAAACAATCCGCTTCTCAATATAACAGTGCACTTCTTCCAAGGTGATCTTTTATGTTGTCTATATACCATGAAACGCCCCTTGAGAAAACAGAAACACAAAAAACAATCCACTTCTCGATCAAGCAGTGCCCCTCCAATGTGCTATTTTACATGCCAATAAACCATGACACTCTTGTCATGAAAAATCAGGGATGACAAAATATAAGCAGATTCATCTTTGGCTTTAAACACTATAAACACAAAACTTTTGTTCTATAAACCCGCACTGATAAGGCACATTTCATACGGGAAGACCGATCAGGTCCATCTGTCTGTTTTTCAGGCAGACCCTATCGGACTATCCATTGCCCTCTATGAAGCAGTGGATGTAAATGGACGTGTCCATTTATACCCGCCTCCATCTGATCTGCTAATAACAGACAGATGGGGATCCGCTGCCCATCCATCCAGCAGATCAAATCTGATCACAGGCGGTCTGTTTACATCAGACCGCCCATAGGAGGACAGTGGGCTGAGTCCGTGTCCGCTCTGCATAAGTGGAGCGAACACAGACCGATCATCCGCCTGCTCAGCGAAGATCAGCGGAAAGATCCTCCGCTGAGCTGGCAGAGTCCACCCATGTGAAAGGGGCCTTAGATAACATACATTAAGCAGATCACAATGCTAGACAAGTTTACCAGTTTACCAATTTACACAGTTTATTTTTGCAAAGAAAATATTTAAAGCTATCCATCGTTTTCTGTCTGTCCTGCCAGAGAGGCATCTACCTACTAACTTGGCTCTGTGCTACAGGGAAGGAAAAATGTAGGTGTTTTTTTTTGTCTCAGATCACTACATTGCAGACGGCCGCTGGGTGCCAGTTAAAATGCATATCACTGCAACGCTCCAACACCCATAACAACATGCGTTGCTACACATTACCACAATGCAATGGTATGAATGGGTCCTAAATGGTGAATATTGGGCTTTGTAGAATGTATAGTGGTTTTGTACCCACTTCGTATTTTCATGTATTATGGCCGAGATAAAAAAAAAAAAAAGAGTGGAAACAGTAGAAATATATGCCAGCCCCAGCAGAAAACAAAAAAACAGAAGTAAGATATTCACACCATGCAGCTGACATTTTATTTTCAAAAGAAGATACGTACAGTGGTTTTTCTACTTCCCATTTTAATTTATTATGACCAAGATAAACAAAAGATAAATGTGTGGGAGTCGGAACAGTGCAAATAAGCAGACTGGGGGTGGCCAAAACCTGGGAATTTTAGGAAAAATGCTAGTTTCCTAGCTCTCTAAACATAATACTTTGCAGATCATGAGTTGTAGGTTCACTTTGGCACGCATGTCAATCTTATTACAGATCAGAAACTCAAATCAGTTAAGTCGCTGCATCAGCAGGGCTGATGATAAAGATAAAAAAACAGAATATATTGGCCTCACATGAAGAGGGAGGGACTCTTAAAACATATTTGCCTTTGCCTAATACTGCAGTAGGTGTTGGATTTAATTAAAGTTGTGTTGTCTTTATTATTTCCAGGACAATGGAATTATCGACATGGTTGACAAGCTTTCAATTCACTGTTTGCAAGCTGTTGTTTTTTTAAAATTCAGCAACAATGCTGAAATGTACTTCACAAGACCATTGTCCTCTGTCTTGTCTTCACATGTTTTAGAGAGAATCAGTCTAACAACATTTGCCATTTGTGTTCTTTAAACCTCATATAGACTGGAATTCCACTCTAAATTTACATCAAGTAAAAATTAAACACTATCAAATTAACACATACCTGTCTAGTTTTAGCAGAGGTTTCAATGTAGGGAATGCCATAGCTTCTGGCCAAGTCCTGAGCTTGCCGTGTTTCTACAGTTCGGGCTGGAAGGTCGCACTTGTTTCCCACCAACACCATGGGAACATCATCTGAATCTTTCACCCGTTTTATTTGCTCCCTTTGTAAAATAATGCAAAGACACATACTTTTTTAACTGAATAATTTAAAAAGACCATGCAAACCTTTATGGTCTGTTACGTATATACGTATACCATTAAAAGTATTTTGTTGTATCTGTATACAAACATATATGGATGGTAATATCCCATATGTGAACAGTACCAACATGATTTAGACAAGTTTGGTTAGAATGGGACTTTAATCACACCAGAAAACAAATTCTCATAAAGAACAAGATTTTTTTTTTACTTACCATAAAATCCCTTTCTCCGAGTTCATTAATAGACACAGCTTCTCTTCTTATTTTTGACTAATAGGGTTTTATAGTGCCAACTACATAAGTAGGACACTAGGCTGAAAGAAAAACCTGGCCCCTTCTCTACACAGTCCTCTCTGGATAAAACCCCCTCTCTGCTTCTCTAATAGAGTGGTGGGTGCTGTGTCAGTCAATGAACTCAGAGAAAGAGATTTTACAGTGAGTAACAAAAATCCCATTTTCTCTTACATTCATTGACATACACAGCTTCTCTTCTTATTTTTGCCTAACAGGAATGTCCCAAAGCGGTGCAACAATGAGGATTGGGCAAACCAAACACCAGGAACGACCAGATAGCATGGTAAACACCCAGAACAACCCCAGAGGGCCCCATGGGAACCATGAAGAGTGGCCTACAAAACGTGTTTCCAAAACTAGCATCCAAACATGGCAACACATCAACTGTGTAGAAGTTAGGAAATGTGTACCCAGTCGAGCAGGTCGCCGTCTTGCCAACCTGCGACAGATGCCTAATGCTGGAATGCCCAGAAAGCACCAATCACCCCAGTGGAATGTGCTGTAACTGGGAAAGGAGGCGTCCGCCCCTAAATGGCATACACCTGTACAAACGTCTGCTAAATCCAACAGGAAAGGGCGGCAGAAGAGACCACCAGGCCTTTCCTTGGACCATCCCAAAAAAAAAAAAAAAAAAAAAAAAAGGATTCGGATCTCCAAAAAGCGGCGGTCATGAAAGTACACCCCAGACACCGAAACCACCTGGACACATCCAAGGATGCAACACAACTTTCTTAGGATACGAAGGCTGAGGGCACAAAGAAGGAAGGAAAAAAGTCCTTAGGTTAAAAGCTGACACCCCCCTTGGAAGGAAGGGGCGAAGAACAGTCTTATCCTCTTGCTCAATGAGATAGGGTTACTTACAAGGCAAGGCCACCAGCTCCGACCCCTGCCACATGAAAGTAATGGTGACCAGGAAGGAAACTTACAGTGTAAGCAAGGGAAGAGGCATGACCCCAATGATATGCACTGTTAGGGGTTGGTCATGAAGAAAGGCCAACACCCGAGCCACTGAGAAAAAATGAGGGTGAGCCCACAGAGCCTCGCACCAAATGATATATGCCTGCCAGGTGCAATGATAAACATCTGCACCTTCAATATGATTGAACTAGAGAGAACTAGATAACCCCCTGTCCCTCAAAACCTGGCCGCCTGCCAGTTTTCAATGATGGGGATATGCCTGATGGATAGAGCTGGAACAAACTATTCTGCCCACCGTAGAATGTGAGGTACCTCCAGCGCCAACCTCAGTCACCATGCCCTCTTGGTGATTTTCCTACAGTAGGCCACTGTGCAATAGAATCTTGGTTGGGAGCCCCGGAGGGCGATCTGTCCAGTGCTCCAGAGATATCCTGACTGTTTCCAGCACCAGGACACTGATGAGCAGTCAAGCTTCCTCCAGAGACCAGCAAACTTGAGCTGAACTTAAGCCCATGGACTCCTCCTCAGCTGGAGCAGCTGGTATCCACTGCGACCACTGTTCAGCATGAGGGAAAAGATACTCCCCAGCCGCTAGAAAAGGAGACCAAAGCCACCAGAGGAGGGAGGTCCTCGTCGACTAGGCCAAACAAATCTGGTTACCCAGGGAGCTGAGCAATCAGTCACAAAGTGACAAGATTACCTGCAGCAGAAACCTTGTATGAACCAATGCAGATAGGACCACCATGAAGGTGGACACCATCAGACCCAGAGTTTGTATGCAAGACCACAGGGTGGACTGCGTGCAGGTGTAGAACTGTTGGACTGCAGTTTGAAGCTTCCAGAGTTGTGCATCGGGAGAAATGCTTTGGCCTGCTCCAAGCCAAAAACAGGCATAGACTCCAGTTGGCTGGTTGGGATCAAGGCCGACTGCTTGAGGTTCAGGCCCATCCGAAGCCCTGCAGGAAGCGCATTGTGTTTTCCACATTGTCCATCAGTCCGGAGTGAGACACTGCTCGCAGGGCAAGTTGTCCAGATAACCAAGCACAGCAATCCCCCGTCATCTCAGAAATGCAAAGACCAGGGCTAACACCTTGGTGAATACCCAAGGAGCGGAGGCCAATCCAAAAAAAGGAGCACCACAAATTGGCAACATGCGTACCTAACGCATAATACGCAACGTTGGTTTCTTGAACTTCCGAACCTGCACAAAGCAATTCAGTACCTAGAGAGCCAATACTGGTTGGACTCCAGTTTGCTGTTGAACTGAAAACGTGCTGGAGTAAAATCCCCTGACATGCTATGAGCCCAAAACCAAAAGCATCGCCTCCCAGAGAAGCAGATCCAGCACCGCTCTGTAAGATCTCGTAAACATGGCGAGAGGGGTGAATGGCAGAAAAATCAGTGGATAGGAAGAGGCTCTCATAGCCCAATGATAGCAGGCTGTGAACCCGTCAGATGGAAGCTGGTAATTCACGGTTCCACAAAGCAAGAAGACGGCCCCCCTATGGAGAAAAGAGGTGGAGCCAAACCTTTATGTTATGGAGCCACGACTGCAGGCTCATGAAAACAGAGAGGTCAGTAACCTGCTTCGGCCTTCCAAGGGGCCGGGGAACAAAAAGGAATAGCTGCAAAGGCACAGAGAGGAAAGGATCCAGTTAGTGTTGCAGCTGCTTGCCCATCCAAGATTGAGGGATGGGCACTTTTCCTCCTTGAAGGAATAGGAAGATGCCCATGGGAGCACCAAAAGGCCACACGCCCTGGAAAGGCAATCTTGCCAATGCTGGCTGCACGTACCTGTACAGGGTTTGAGATTATCCCTGGGACTTAAGGTGGCCTGGTCAGACTAGAGATGGGAGGATCCATGACCGGATGAAGGTACTCTCCCAAAGGCAAGGAAGGAACGCACCACAAAAAAAACACTAAAAGGACCCCCCAAAGGTCACTGCAGCTCCACAGGAACCTCAATCATTTGGGATATTCTGCCCAGAGATGTGGCATGTAGCCACTGCATCTGTTCCTACCCGTGACAGCAGCAGGGAAGACCTCCTCACTTCTTTTGGAGGATTTGTGGGTCACAGCCCCCTAGGAGCACAGGTAAGCAAGACTCACAGCAGCAGAGAGGGAGACTCTGTCTCAAATTTTCCCAATGAGGAAGGACTGAGTGGGGGACATTACCCACTTGCCTTTGCATCCAATGCTACTTCCACTCGAGAACAAAGAAGAAAACACAAGGACTGCCAACAGCACGTCTGAGAAGGGAGGGACTGGAGGGCCCTGCAACTACCATTGGGTGAAAGTGGGTAGCCTGCCCCTGAAACCCCAGGGCAGATGTCCCCTGGAAGAAGCCAGACCACTAAAAAGGACAGGCCACCTAGGGTCACCATCCCTGACATGAGGGAGGCATCTCACGAGGAGCCAGCTCCTGTAGCAATCCCAAAAAGCAGTTGAAGTAGACAGCAGGTAACCTGTCCATAATTCGTCAAATCCCGTAAGGGAGACCAGCGAGGCACCTGCAACCCATAGAGACTCACCACACAGCAGATCCAATACAGGAACCCCAAGATCAGGAGATGACTCTTACCCAAAGGGGGAAGCTCTCGACAGTCACAAGGTGCATGCAAGGTACCCTGGAAAACCAGAGGCTGGTAAGGAAAGTGTCTCACCAGTCATGATGTCATAATGTGCCCACCCATCCAAAGCCCCGCCTGGTCAGATTAAGGGCAAGGGTTGCAACAACCCCCCCCCCCCCAGGCTTGAACAGAGTGTGAGTGGAAGTGACAACAGAAAAGGGCAAAATGCACTAAGTAAGATGGCGGGCACAACAGCCAACTGCAGCAGGTCGCAAGCTACGGTCTAAATTTTTGGACAATCCAACTGCATAGACCCACAGGCAGTGACAGGACTACCAGTGTTCAAGTCCACAGCCAAGTAACAACCACAGTGCGGCACACACTCACACATCCTGCACGGTGTCCCCTGAGCTACACCCTGCATACAGGGGAACACCCAAAAGCACACCGAACATGGGGAGACCAGGGTAAAAAGGTACTCAGCACCATGCCAAATCGACCTAGAGGGTATAGAGGTGTAGGGGGAGTGCAAGTATCTACCAAAGATGGAGGGGGTACCATCTCCATGACAGAACACCTCCCAGCTGAAGCTGGGGCGTTGTCCACCTAATGGGCACTGTGAGCAACCACCCCGAAGTCGCATGGTCATATGTGCCTCCTGGCCGCCCAGGGTTTGATAAGAGCATTCCTAGGAGGGAAGAAAGCTCAGCCAGAGGGGACAGGATGAAATACCAGAGGCTCGGAGAGAGGAGGGTCCCGTAGGACCGGCCACCCCAGGGAGAACACACCCCACACCGTGGCTGGGTAAGGAGGGAGGGCATCTACTTACAAAACAAAACAAAAACCCACTATATCTCTGTACTGCATGTACATTTCCATGTTTTCGCCTTTTAGAAATACTGCAAGTACAGAGAAGTACCTCTACGTTTGTTGCTACTTCATCTAGGTCACTATTGCTAGATCAAGCAAGTTTTTACATACGATCATTTGTGGTGTCCTTTAAAACAATGGGGACATGAAAATATTACATGTAGTAGTGCATTTTCACTATCTGCCAAGGTTTGTAGCAGATAAGAATAAAAATAATAATAATAATAAGTGAAGTTTGACCTTTTGACATATATGACTTATGGCCTTTATGGTAATGTGCTGCCATCTGAATTCTACGGACAGAAATGAGTCCCTCATAGGAACCGATGTAGGATCTGAGTAGAAAAGACCGCACCCAGGTGGGAATACCTACAAACTTTCGAAGATAAATAGGTCTGAACTAAAGATGAAAAGAGGTTCTCACTATGGGACAACACTAAAGCTGTACTACAAGAGAGAGAGTGTGACTGCCAAGATGAAAGGAGAAGCAGGGTCAATGCTCTTTTGGCTCTACTCCTGTGGGTCAGTTCTGCACTCATGTGACCCATACACAGCTAAAGCCCACTGTCCGCGGACATCACTCAGCTGGTCCAGGCTCTGGCAAGATCCTAACTTTAAAGTTGGGACCCACCCAGATGCCTGAGGTGTAGCTGGCTCAGCCTTTGAGCACGTCGGGGGGTGGCAGAGCAGAGAGCCGCTGACAGACAGTCACCACCTCTCTACTTACTGAAGACAGAGAACTGAGCAAATCAGCGGTCTTTAACTGCTCGGTTCTCTATCTTAGAGGCAGCAGGAGAAAGATGCAGCGCATTGGAACAATGCCGCATCCACCTAGGTGAACATGTAGGTTTTTTTTCTTAATTCTTGAACATCTCTTTTTAGAACCAGTTTCCCTGTGATCGGTTAAATGCTAAAAGTCATGTTTACGAAGATAATTGTGGACCAGCTGTAGTTAGAAGCTATTGTATCCCTATTGCATACAGACTATTGCATTTGCTAGAAAGAATGGATACTGTAGCATGTACTTGTGTGTATGTATGCACATTTGTAGCACTATACAGTAGTATAGTATTGTATATAATATATATTGTATTGCTTTACTATAACTTTAAATAGTTTGTATATGTAGTATTTTTATTCAACTTGGTTAGTTTCCCTGGCTTTACTGCAAGAATTAGATAAACAGCAGAAAATAAAAAAGTAAAATATATATCTGCCATAGTATTTTATTACTACAGTGCCTTGCAAAAGTATTCATAACCCTTGAAATTTTCCACATTTTGTTACAACCAAAAGCATAAATGTACTTTATTGGGATTTTATGTGGATCAACATAAAGTAGCACATAATTGTAAAGTGGAAGGAAAATGATAAATGTATTTCTAAATTTTGTTACAAATAAATATCTGAAAAGTGTGACTTGGATTTGTATTCAGCCACCTTTACTCTGATACCCCTAACTAAAATCTAGTGGAACCAATTGCCTTCAGAAGTCACCTAATTAGTAAATAGAGTCCATGTGTGTGTAATTTCTCAATATAAATACAGCTGTTCTGTGAAGCCCGCAGGTTTGTTAGAGATCATTAGTGAACAAACAGCATCATGAAGGCCAAGGAACACACCAGACAGGTCAGGGATAAAGTTGTGGATAAGTTTTAAAGCAGGGTTAGGTTATAAAAACATATCCCAAGCTTTGAACATCTCACAGAGCATTGTTCAATTCATCATCCAAAAATGGAAAGAGTATGGCGCAACTGCAAACCTACCAAGACATGGCCGTCCACCTAAACTGACAGGCCAGGCAATGAGAGCATTAATCAGAGAAGCAGCCAAGAGGCCGATGGTAACTCTGGAGGAGCTGCAGAAGATCCACAGCTCAGGTGGGAGAATCTGTCCACAGGATAACTTTTAGTCGTGCACTGCACAAATGTGGCGTTTATGGAAGAGTGGCAAGAAGAAAGCAATTGTTGGAAGAAAGCCATAAGATTTCCCATTTGCAGTTTGCGAAAAGCCATGTGGGGGACACAGAAAACATGTGGAAGAAAGTGCTCTGGGGAGATGAGACCAAAATTTAACTTTTTGGCCTAAAAGCAAAACGCTGTGTGTGGTGGAAAACTAACACTACACATCACCCTGAACACCACGTCCCCACCGTGAAACATGGTTGTGGCAGGATCATGTTGTGGGGATGCTTTTCTTCAGCAGGGACAGGGAAGCTGTTCAGAGTTGATGGGAAGATGGATGGAGCCACATACAGGGCAATCTTTGGAAGAAAACCTGTTAAAAGTCTGCAAAAGACTTGAGACTGGGGCGGAGGTTCACTTTCCAGCAGGACAACGACCCTAAACATACAGCCAGAGCTACAATGGAATGGTTTACAACAAAGCATATTCATGTGTTAGAATGGCCCAGTCAAAGTCCAGACCTGAATCCAATTGAGAATCTGTGGCAAGACTTGAAAATTGCTGTTCACAGACTGTCTCCATCCAATCTGACAGAGCTTGAGCTATTTTGCAAAGAATGGACAAACATTTCACTCTCTAGATGTGCAAAGGTGGTAGAGACATCCCCAAAAAGACTTGCAGCTGGAATTGCAGAGAAAGGTGGTTTTACAAAGTATTGACTCGGGGGGCTGAATACAAATGCTGACACACTTTTCACATATTTATAAAAAAATGTTGAAAACCATTTATCATTTTCCTTTCACTTCACAATTATTTGCCACTTTGTGTTGGCCTATCCCATAAAATCCCAATAAAATACATTTACATTTTGTTGATTTTAACATGACAAAATGTGGATAATTTCAAGTCCTGAGGTTTACATGGCTCTGCCACAACACAGCCCAATCTGAAAGGGTTGTAGATGTAAGATTTCTCAGTAACACCTAAATGGTCTTTTCCTTTCCCCAGCCTGTGACTAGACAGTGAAAAGATAAGCAGTAGACTGATTTGCTCATATCTGTTACTCTGCTCTCTCCTACTGTCAGCATGTCCCTTGCACTGCTGCACAACAGAATTATTGTGTTGCTTCCCCTGCCCCCTTTGCATCTTAGCATGAGCCCTAATGTACAGGGACTGTAAAAGGATGATACAAATTTGAATTTAGGTACTTGCGTTTAAAAATAAATTTAATAGTGTATTAATGGATACAGAGCTGCATTCATTGATGTCTTTTATATCTGCTTAATGTTCAGGTTTAAATGTGCAGAGATGTAGCACATACTTTAATTATATTTTTCTTTTTACCAGGCATGCACTTTAAAAGAGCTGAAAGGTCACTGAGACACACACCTGTACTGATGTATATCCTCAAAAGATTTGGTATTGTTGATGGCAAATACACATAAAAAGCCCTCTCCTGTCCTCATGTACTGGTCCCGCATCGCACTGTACTCCTCCTGACCAGCTGTGTCCAGGATGTCCAGAAGGCAAGTCTCCCCATCTATAACAACCTGTTTTCTGTAGGAATCCTACAACAAGAATGAGAAAGAAAGGTTATTAGGTTATAATACAACAATTTTGCATTTCAAAATTGATTGTATAAAGACAAGGTAAGAATTATGTCATCACCAAAGTCTGCATCTTTAGGGTAGCCCCAGCAGTCTAAACAAAAAAAAAAACCCAAATCCTCCCTGCTGAGCTTTTGTATTTTCACAGCGTGGAGTCTTTCCTGCCATCAGAGTAGCCGGTGGCACTTATCGATCAGGAAAAAACCAACATGGTGGTTGTACAGAAATCGATTAGTAGATCGACTTCTGTACAACCAGCCTGCCCTTACATCTGTCCCTCCTGATATCCAACCACGAGAGCATAAAAACCAGCATGTGGCACATCTTATTCCAATGCTTTAACACAAATCAGGCAGAATCATAAAACATCACATTCTAACGCATTTCAGCAAACTGGCAGCCTTAATCTTAGCTATGATTAAGGCTGCTAGTCAGACCTGTAGACAAATAGCCAACATTTCTTGAATAAAACCTCAATTGTCAATGTTCAAATACAAAACACCAGACATATTTCCACGATTCAGAGACATGGAGTTTCACTTTGTCAAGGTGAAGGTGAATGTGTACTGTAAACCATCTCAAATTTATACACCCATTAATTATCAAAAGAATCAATACACCTGTAAGTTTTTCCAAGTCTCATGCCCATGTGTTTTAATATTCATATGCCTATAACAAAAAGTATGCTTATGCAAAGATGTTGTGAGGGTTGTGTGGACATACCCCTTACTCAAGATGTATGTGCAATATGTGCCAAGGAATGTGTGTGTATTCCGGAACTAGAACTAACATGCAATACATATGTCTGTACATTCCAATAAACGGAAATTGCGTGACCAAGCCACCACAGCAGAATGATACACTGCCAGCTGGCAAATGGGACATTCATTCCCTATTTTTGTATGGCCCAGTAACCAAAGGGTAAGAAAGCTTACAGTAAAAAAAACAAAAACACATCAATGAGTGAAAAATACTGAAATGAAAAAAGATTAAAATGAAAGAAAAAAGGAACGAAAAATGAGGAAAGGGTGAATACAGAACACAAAGGCAAAGTTGAAACCAAAATAAGAACATACTACAATCCTCCAAAAATGATTTAAAGAAAACTAAATGTAAAAATTAGTTTTTTTCAAATAGGAAATCAAAACATATGAAATGAAAAACAGATAATCACACAAGGAGCGTATTCACAGAATAAGGCTAGAACCTGTAGACAGTCAATGACCGTGCCTCTAAGATGGTAGGTTTGGTCTTTGCAAAGGGTGGTGCCCCTGGGGCTATCCTTACTAAGCTTTTGAAATGGACACAGGTTCAGGTAGTCTTTGCAATGTAAACACAATAGTATGGACAAAAGATACAGTTTGACCAAAATTATTCAACCCCCACTGAAATTGAGTGTTTTGGCCAGTTTGACATTGCTTTTGATCATTCAGTCATCTTGCTTACATTTACATTAAAGAGGCACTTGTAGGTCAGACAAATATAACATAACAGTTATAATGAAATAACCACAAATGTCTTTTCTGTGCTCACAGCATTATCAGTTTTTATTCAACCCCCAAGTGACATTCAATCTTAGTACTTAGTACAGCATCCTTTTACAGTTATAACAGCTTTTAAACGTGAAGCATAGCTTGACACAAGTGTCTTGCAGCGATCTACGGGTATCTTCGCCCATTCTTCATGGGCAAAGGCCTCCAGTTCAGTCACATTCTTAGGCTTGCGCACTGCAACTGCTTTCTTTAAGTCCCACCAGAGGTTCTCAATCGGATTTAAGTCTGGTGACTGCGATGGCCACTCCAAAATGTTCCAGCCTTTCCTCTGCAACCATGCTCTAGTGGACTTGGAGGTATGCTTGGGATCATTGTCCTGTTGAAAGGTCCAACGTCTCCCAAGCCTCAGGTGTGTGACGGACTGCATCACGTTTCCATCCAATATCTCCTGGTACTGAAGAGAATTCATGGTACCTTGCACACGCTGAAGCTTCCCTGTACCTGCAGAAGCAAAACAGCCCCAAAGCATGATTGACCCTCCACCATGCTTCACAGTAGGCAAGGTGTTCTTTTCATCATAGGCCTTGTTCTTCCTCCTCCAAACATAGCGTTGATCCATGGGCCCAAACAGTTCTAATTTTGTTTCATCAGTCCACAGAACACTATCCCACAACTTTTGTGGTTTGTCCACATGGCTTTTGGCATACTGCAGTCGACTCTTCTTATTCTTTGGAGACAGCAAGGGGGTACGCCTGGGAGTTCTGGCACGGAGGCCTTCATTACGCAGTGTGCGTCTTATTGTCTGGGCTGAAACTTCTGTACCCACATCTGACAAATCTTTTTCTCAGTTCCTCAGCAGTCACACGGGGACTTCTCTCCACTCTACGCTTCAGGTAGCGCACAGCAGTCGAAGTCAGCATCTTCTTTCTGCCACGACCAGGTAGCGTTTCAACAGTGCCCTTTGCCTTGAATTTGCGAATGATGCTTCCTAAGGTGTCTCTTGGTATGTTTAACATCTTTGCAATCTTCTTATAGCCATTGCCCTTCCTGTGAAGAGAAATCACCTCTTCTCTTGTCTTCCTGGACCATTCTCTTGCCTTCACCATGTTTGTAACCACACCAGTAAATGTCTAGAAGGAGCTGAGTATCACAGTCATTTTTAAAGCTGCCTAATTGGTGCTTATTATGCTTGATTGCTGCTCGGTGACATCCACAGGTGTTTTCAATACCTGATGGAAAGCACCTGTATGAACCTCTGTTCTTCAGAGTGGTAGTCTTTAAGGGGTTGAATAATTGTGGCAATGAAGAAACCACATAAAGAACCATTTACTACTGTATTACATAAACAATTGATGTCATTTTAGTTGCATTTGGGTAGTTACAACGTCCTTGTAGGATTTGATTCTGAATACAATTCCAAATGTACACTATAGTCCCTAAACCCCTTTACAGCATTGGGGGTTGAATAATTTTGGTCACAACTGTACATGCAATAATCCGGGTCACAATTAAAATACTCATTAGTAGCTTTTAACAATTTCACTGCCACCAACATAAGGATTACAAAGGCAGTAGAAGTGACATGCCATTAGATTTCGGACTGCTGCAGTTTGTTTACAATTTTGCAAGGCTTTCTTGTGGAAGTGATTGGGGTCTAGACCTGACCCTACCCTGCCTTCCATCCCCCATGTGCACCAGGCTTTACCTGTCCCTCCTGGGTGCCCAGGGCCATCATGGCAAGTATCAGGATGGAGAGCAGAGGGAACCCCCTCCTGTGATTAATGAACCCAGTAGCAACCAGCTCTGATCACTTCTGGGTTCAGAGCTGTTATTCTCTGCTTTATTAGCTTCAGAAGAGTGAAGGCTGACATCAGGGGTCTCACAGCCCCCTTATCTCTCCCTATGCTTTCATATAGTGAGCTCATCCCCATGTGAGAACAAAAAAAAAAAGTTTAAAAAATTAAAGTTTAATCAGATTAAAAACACCTAGTAAATTTCAGGAACATGTTAAAATGGACTGTATATGAGATTTCACTGGTTGGATTTACACATACTTTAGTGTCGGGGAAGGAGAGTGCAGATAACAGTTTAGGTCTGCTTTAAAATACATTGTTCCTAAACTAGCAAGCATGCCAATTTCTGAGGACATCTATGATTCACAAGACTGTTTTTTTTTCTCTGTTTACACAACATTTAAGGTAGCTAATCTCTGTCCAATTAGTCCCTTAAAAAATAAAGTTCTGTTTAAATTTATTTTTGGTTCTAAAAATAATCAATAATAAACATTTGTTGTTTTTACCAAGACTTTTATTCAAGTCACAGAGTGACACCTAATGGTGATCTTTGGGTATAGCAGTATTATAATCTTTTACTGGATTTACCAAATTGAGGAATACACAAATGATTGCAAAGGTTTTCAAGGTTATAATATTGGGCACAGAACTATTTACCATAGCTGGCACAATAAAATAATAGTGATAAAATAAAACAGATATAATATATGCTCAGTATCCTATGGCAGCCTATACATTACACATTTTTTTTTCCGTTCAATCAGTGGGTAGAACAAAAAAAAAAAAAAAAAAGTGCAGATTCCCCCATCCACATATTCAAGGTGAATAGGAGAATCATTCCCGCAGCACTATTGTGTTCTATCAGTGGGGAGACCTCCCAGCCAGCAGAAATGAGCAGTTTTGCTGGCTATAGCAGGCTGCACTGATTGTTTTGGAGAAACCCGACATGTTGGATGTACAGGCAGGCTGTTTTGTTTTTTGTTTTTTTAAATATACATGTTATACTCACATGCTCTGTGCAATGATTATGCACACAGCAGTCCCAATCCTTCTCTTCTGGGGTCCTCCATCGTGGCTTCTGGCTCCACCTCTTCTGCGAGTGCATCTATAGGAAGCCATTTCCTATGGGGGCACTCATGCAGGCTCAATCCCAAGCCATACTACCTGTGTATATAGATTGATACTGCCTGCATCTATAGATTTGATTGACAGCAGCAGGAGTCAATGAATGGAAATGCAGAACAGCAACATGGGAGTGAGCCTGCTTGGGTGCCCCCCATAGCAAGCCACTTGCTCTGAGGGCACTTGGCAAGAGGGAGGGGCCAGAAGTACCGGCGGGGGACCCGAAAAGAGTATTGGGGCTGTTCCGTGCAAACCTACTGCAAAAAGCAAATATGTAGAACATGTTTGCTATTTATTTAAAAAAAAAAAAAAAAAAAAAAAGAGAACTTACCTTTAATATCACCTTAACATGTTGCTAAACCCATGACCTTGTATCCACTGTATCCGGTCTCCTACAGTACACAGTACATGGAAATGCAATTTTAGTAAATATAAACTGCTAAATACC